CCCAAAACTGCAGTCAGGGCTGAGGGGTGGCTGGTAGCTAGCCCCCACTGAAAGTTCATGGGCAGAGAAGGGGTGCTCTTCTCAGAGAATGGATGTACTAGGTGACAGACCAAAGATACTTCCACAGAGAAGGGTATCTTTCTCTCTTGCAAGGATATCTTGCAAGCCAAGCGGAAGGAGGCATTTTCATGTGGAACTTGGGGAGACCCAGGGCACAGGCACAGCTGCATCGGGACCTGGGTGATTAAGTGCAGCCCACGCAGTCCTGGAGAAGGAACATTGTCCCTGCTCCTGGCCAGGGCCCTCTGGTGCCTCCCAGGCTGGCCACTCGGGAATCACCTGGGAAAAGGGAACTGAAGGGCAGGGGGCAGGATTCTCCCTGCAGGCTCCATGGCAGGGACAGAACAAGTTCACCCTCACGGGACTTAGGGTAGGGACAGAGCGCTCATATGTGGCTCCTCCAGGGACTCCCAGAGAGAAAGGCCTTGGAGGAAGTCACGCAGTGCTGGCCAGCAGGACAGAGGGGAGAGGGCCGCCTAAAGGACATGTCACCTTTATAGCCCAGCTGGTGGGGCCTGGGGACATCTGGGGTACAGGTGACTTTGCTATTCACATGTTTAAAGAAAAAGGGGCTGACGACAAGCTTGAAAATGTTGAAATAGTTATTGCTAGGTGGGGGAACTAGAGATGACCTTTATTTTTTCATCCATACGTTTCTATATCTTCCAAGTTTTCTACAATAAGCATATAACACTTTTATATTTAGAAGAAAAATGAACACTGCATTTTTCGAGGAAAGTGTGACTCAACAGGTGCTATCACGGATGAACAGTGCGCTAGGGAGCGTGCAGGAGGGAGCAGCTATGTCCAACCTGCCGGGGCAGGCTCAAGCCCTGAGGAACAGAGCACTCAGCTGAATGCCTCGGGGGACCGAATACTCCAGCCTGCACTCTGTTTTTGTTAAAAGAGATGTGAGAAACAACAAGCGCCTGTTGCTGGGGGTGCATTCCCGGCTCTTATATCTGACTCCATCCCAACAAAAGATGATTTGCCTAGAGCTGCTGGATGACACGGTGGGTGGGCAGTAAGAGGCAAGTGTGCTTAGGAAATACTTTCAGCTCAGTGGAAAGAGCACTGGACCAGGAGTCCAGAGACCCAGAGACAGGTTCTGGCTCAGACACAGACTCACCTGGGGACCTGGGATGAGCCACTTTCCTAATAGACCCACATTCCCTCACCTGTAAACAGGGTGAGAGGGGAGGAGGAAGGTCCTAAACCAGCTTCGATGCTCTAAAAATCGGAAAAGTACCACTGCTTCCAGCTTTCTGATGGTCTGAGGCTTTGTGTTCACTCAGAGTAAGAAAAACAGAGGTAGCAATAGCTAATTCCATGTCTGCCTATTTTACTCACGCATTCATTAAGTGCATTCATTCATTCAAACAGCTATTGAGGCCGGGCGCAGTGGCTCACGCCTGTAATCCTAGCACTCTGGGAGGCCGAGGCAGGAGGATTGCTTGAGGTCAGGAGTTCGAAACCAGCCTGAGCAAGAGTGAGACCCCGTCTCTACTATAAATAAAAAGAAATTAATTGGCCAACTAAAAATACATAGAAAACATTAGCCGGGCATGGTGGTGTGTGCCTGTAGTCCCAGCTACTCGGGAGGCTGAGGCAGGAGGATCGCTCGAGCCCAGGAGTCTGAGGTTGCTGTGAGCTAGGCTGACGCCACGGCACTCACTCTAGCCTGGGCAACAAAGCGAGACTCTGTCTCAAAAAAAAAAAAAAAAAAGAAACAAACAAACAGCTATTGAGTTCCTAGATATGCCCGGCACCGCGCTGCACGCCAAGGATGCAGGCGTGAACCAGACAGACAAAGGGCTCTGCCCTTGTGGAGCTTATATTCTAGTGGCAGAGGCAGACAATAAACAAGTAAACCAATAAACAATTACGTAAGTGTTAAGGGAAAATAAAAACAGGGCAAGAGAGGACTGGTTGGCGGGGGTAGCACCACTTTATATTAATATTTGGGGATCAGAGAAGGTGCTATTTGAGCTGAGACCTGAACGGATCAGCCATATCGGTCAGTACAGGATAGACGCTGCTGCGGTAACAAATGAATCCCTAAATCTCAGAGATTTAGCACAGCAAAGGTCTATTTCTTGACCATGCAAATTCCACCTAAATCAGACGGCTAAGTCCCCTAGGCTGCCGTCCTCCACACGGTGACTCGCCGACTCAGGCGGCTTCTATCTTGGCACAAGACTTCCGGAACCACCACCGTGGCACAGCACGAGAGCTAGACAGTTCTGAAAGGGCTCTTTGTCGTCTCGGCCTGGAAGCGACTCTCCTCACTCACACTCAGAGCCCACCGGCCAGAGTTAGTGCCATGACCCGTCTGGGAAGGGCAGTGCTCCCGCTGTCTGGGCAGGAAAGACCAAGTGGCGTGGAGGAACACTAGAAATCTCTTCACTAGAACAACAGTGGAAGAGCATTCCTGGTAGAAGGAACAGAAAGGGCAAAGACTAAACACAGGAACGGATTTGCAAGTTCACAGGACTGGCCGAGGCAGAGGGCAAGCGGGAGAGGCAGGAGGTGGGCCCAGAAAGGAAAGGAGAGATGAGAACCCATGTCGCACTGGAGGTGGGTTGTTTGTTTGTTTGTTTGAGACAGAGTTTTACTCTGATGCCAGGGCTAGAGTGCCGTGGTGTCAGCCCAGCTCACAGCAACCTCAAACTCCTGGGCTCAAGCAATCCTCCTGTCTCAGCCTCCCAAGTAGCTGGGACTAGAGACATGCACCACCATGCCCGGCTAATTTTTTCTATTTTTAGTAGAGACGGGTCTCGCTCTTGCTCAGGCTAGTCGTGAACTCCTTACCTCGAGCAATCTTCCCGCCTGGGCCTCCCAGAGTGCTAGGATTACAGGCGCAAGCCACCACGCCCGGCCTCAGGAGGTGTTAAGTTTATATTCTAGGTATTAATACAGTGGATGCGAGTGCTGTCAGGGGCATCACACAGACCTGGATTCAAACCCCAGCTTTGCCACTCTAGGACTTAAGCGAGCACCCTGACATTTCTGAGACTTAGTCTCCTTGAAGGGTGTTGGGCAATTCACTTATGAGTTATGAAGGACTCTGAGCACTGCCCAGCACTCAAGCACTCAAGAAATAGCGGTGGGCTGGGCACAGTGGCTCACGACGCCTGTGATCCCAGCACTTTGGGAGGGTGAGGCGGGAGAATCACTTGAGCCAGGAATTCAAGACCAACATAGTGAGACCTCATTGCTACAAAAAATTAGGCAGGTGTAGTGGCACATGCCTGTAGTCCCAGCTACTGAGGAGGCTGAGGCAGGAGGATTGCTTGTGCCTAGGAGTTCGAGGTTACAGTGAGCTACAATCGCGCCACTGCACTCCAGCCTGGGTGACAAAGGGAGACATGGACTCAAAAAAAAAAAAAAGGAAGAAAGAAATAGTGGCAATTATTGGTGTCATAAGAATTTCCTTCCTTCCCCAGGTCAGTGGAGGGGAGGGTGCCTGAGGGGCAGAGGGGGTGGGGATGAGCCAATATAAACACAGTCTGGGTCAGCCGCCCCAACCGGTTCTCCTGGCTGTGCCAGGCAGGCTGAGGCTCCAGACCAATCCAGGGTCTGTCCTCTTCCCAGCAGACTGAGCCCCATGGACACACCCATCCAAGGACCCTTGTCAAAGAGGGAGGGTGGGAGGGGTGACGCAGGCTGTGTGAGGTTCCTTGTGCCGCTCACGCTCCTTGCTGGAAGTTGTTAAGCATCAGATGAGCGATTGTGGACTGCCAGGAGTGAGGCCAATCACCAGAGGGCTTCCTGGGGCCACCCCCACCCGGGGCGCCTGGCCAAAGCCCAGGCTGGCCGCCGTTCCAAGCTCAGCCTCCAGAGCCACACGGACCTGAGCACTAACCGGACTCTGCCGCTTTCTCAGTGACAGTAAGCTCTTTCCTTCCCCTCTCCGAGTGTCGCCAGGCCCATGTCTGCAAAGTGAGGATGAACATGAGGCACCTGCCCGCACAGTGAGGCTCCCACAGCGCCAGCCTGGCATACAGTAAGTGCCCAATAAGTGGGAGCGGCTATATTGGCTCCAGTCAGCTCTGCCCTAATAGTAACGTTTCATTGCAAAATGCAGGACACTTCCTACTGACTCCGTCGAACAACATTGATGACCTAAGAAGAAAGACACATCTTTTGCAGAGGGAGCCAACCAAGAGCTTTTTACTCTGGGGTTGGGGAGGAGAGAGGAGGAAGTGCCCTAGCAATTTTGTTGGATTTTTTTTTCTTTCCTTAGATTGGCACTGGTGTTTTTAAAAAGGTGAGTCCCCAGGAAGGTGTCCGGTTGTGTTCAGCGTCTGGCTGTGCCTGACAGTCAGCATTCAGTGCATGTTCAACGTGCCATTCAGGATGTGTGCTTGACGAGTGAATGGATGAAGGCATGGGTGGGTGAATGAATGAATGGACTGTTTGTCCATTCCAGGGAAGCAGTTGCCGAGAGATCGCTCCCCCTATCCGCCCCCATCACGTCCGTCCTGGGCCTCCAACTCCACCCCCTTCTGCTGCCCCAAACCCAGTCCTGATGCTTCTTCGGCACTCCCGTGCACCCTTCCCATGCTCATTCCACAGCTCCAAGCACTGTCCGGGCACTACACACACACACACACACACACACACAGCCTGAGTGTGGAACTCCAGCTCCTCCGACACCCACATCCACCAGCCTGGGGGAACGGGGAAGACCGAGGGATGAGGCTCCCCTTTAATTAAACACAGAAGTCCAGACTTAAGGCAGATGAAGAGCACGGCCTGAGAGCAGGACAGACCCACGTGGAGCGGGGCAGCTAGAGCCCTGCACGACCCGCAGACATCTGATTGGACGGACAGCCCCAAGAGTCTTTGCCAAGAAAGGTGTCTGGGTGCCCAGGCCTGGGTCCGCTCCTCTGTGGGCCCCAAGTTGTTCAGGCCTCAGAAACTCCACTAACGCCGGCTCAAGCAAAGGGGGGATTTATTTCTTGGCTCAGAAACTGGGAAGTCCATGGCGGTTTTAGCTCAGGCGTAGCTGGATCCAGAGGCTCACATGATGTCATCAGGGCTTGTTTGCTGTCTCCTGGCACTTCCTGTCTCTCCTCGGCCTCTTCTTAGGTTTTCTCTGTGGCATGAACAAGACGGCCACCAGCCAAGGCCACTGCAGTCACACAGGGCCCCGTGTTCAGATGACCCCGTGCGTGAGGTTTAATGCTCTGCAGTGGCTGTCTTGAAATCCACAATCATTTCATCTTTGAGTTTATTTTGGAAGTAAGGTCTGGAACAATGGAGCATGTGCCGGAGGCTTGAAGCTTCAACTCACGTGCAGCCCTGTCTCCTGCCACCTCCCTGTGACAGGTTCTTGGCCCCCCACTACGCTAATTCCTGGCCCCCTGGCCACTGGGCCTCTCCCTCCCGTCCTTGGCAGGGACCCGGATGCAGGCACAGAGGGGGTGGGGTCAGGCGTTCCCAGCAGCTTGCAGAGCATGGTGGCAGCACCACAGCCCGTCTGGCAGCCAGCCAGAGACCAAGTCTAGATGTGGGGTGAGCCTCTCACCTATACCACGCAGGTGCTGAGACCCTTAGAGACCACCCCTCTGCTGTAGGTGGAGGTGGGGCCTGTGGAAAGGGGAGGAACCTCGCTGAGGCTCTGACATCAGTCTGGGTTGGGGGAGGGTTAACCCAGCAGCTGCTGCCAGGCCCAGGGAGAAGGGGCACCCATCCCCGAAGCCACCGGGCTGGAGGGGGCCCGGGAGGGCGTGCACTCCCTGGGCAGTGTCCCCCATAAGAAGAAGCTCTCCCTATGGAGCGGGGGAGGGGTGTCCTCTCCTCCCACAACTTCCCTGAGCCTGACTTGTGTGTTTGTCTTTTCTGGCCAGCTCAAGGCAGCCTCGGGGACACGAAATTCAGATTGTATAATATCAGCGATTCTGCACTTGAATTAAATGCTCTGATGTTTGCACTTAAAACTGGTATTATGCAATATAAAGATGAATGGCAAAATTCACGCTTATTATCTGAAATTTTAATTTTTCTGTACTTAGAATGACATTAAATAGAAAATTAGAAACACCATGATATGTCTGGGCACGGTAGCTCACACCTGTAATCACAACACTTTGGGAGGCTGAGGTGGGAGGATCACTTGAGCCCAGGAGTTTGAGACCAGCCTGGACAACATAGCAAGACCCCCATCTCTACAAAGAACTAAAAATCTGGCTGGGGGTAGTGGTGCGTGCCTGTAGTCCCAGCTACTCGGGAGGCTGAGGCAGGAGGATCGCTTGAGCTCAGGAGTTCGAAGCCGCAGTGAACTACGATCGCACCACTGCACTCTGGCCTGTATGACAGAGTGAGACCTTGTCTCTAAACAAACAAACAAAAACACCATGACAAGCTAAGAGAGAGAAACCATGGAAGGAAGAAAAGTGTTCTATGTACCTTTATAGCAATTTTTCCTGCTTTCTGAGCAAGGGACCCTGCATTTCCATGTTGCACTGGGCCCCACAGCTTATGTACCTGGCTGGGCCACCAGCATGCCCATGATAGCATCAGCCCTGGCAGAAGGGGCACCTTCCCAACTGCTCCGGAGGAAATACCGGAGCACATGGGTCACATGCGCATCCCTGAACCAAGCAAGGTGGATGGGGAAGTGGGGCGCTCTGATTGGCCAGTTCTGGGCACGCGTCCGTCCCTAAGCCCAGGGGCCAGTCAGCCTCATCTCAGCCCTTCTGACGGGTCCTCCCAGCGCAGAGACTCTGCTGCAGAGGAAAGAGCTGACGGCCACGCCCCGCCGTGCTTCCTCCACACCCCCTCACGCTTAAAGGGGCATGTGGATGAAAATGCCATATGAAGATGCCAGGTGGGCAGGAGAAAGCAATTTAGTCTCACTCTCCTGGTTCATATGTCCCCAGACCCCTTTGCTGAGTCCTCCTCCCCTTCCTCTGGGTGCTGAGGCGGCGCCGGGCTCTGGCCTTGGGCCCCTTCTCCTTCCAGCCACTTCCCCTGGTCCCAGGAATCCACGGAGGACAGCTCTCTCCAGCCGGGACGTCTGTGCCAACCACAGGCCCGGGCTCCCAGCCCTGTTTGGCCTCTGGGGCACTGACACGCCAGAGCTCACCGTCTGCACCCGGCCCCCTAAGAGCCCCTCAACACTGCTCCCTGCCCCCACCCCGCCTGTCCCAGACAGCCAATCTTGGCTCCACCAAGCCAAACCCAGCCCGTCAGCAAACCCTGCGGGCGCTTCTTGAGGACACCCACGAGCCACCTCCTCTCTGTCCTCGCTCTGCTCTGGCTGGCCCCGCCGCAGGGCCTCTCGCCTGACTGCCCCAGCCTCGCAGCTGGCCTCCTCGCCTCCACTCTCCCTCCGCTCCACTCACCTCCTTGGAGCGTGCCGGCGCTCCTCAACTCCAGGCTTCCCAGTGGCGCAAACCTTGAAACTGGTTGGTGGGTGAAGCGCATCTGTAGCGTTGCAGGCTCCTACTGCGCAGACACTCCCGCCCTGGCCAATTCCAAGCTACCGGTGTGACATCTCTGAACTCGGAGTGGGAAAGGTGTGCTCAGCCCGCTCCTGCAAGCCAGTCTGGGCGACTCCAGCACACCGCTGCTCCTGCCCCGCCCAGGATAAAATACAAAGTCTTTCTGTGGCCTGTGGCCTGCATGGCCCTGCCTGACCCAGCCCGGCCACCTCTCCACTTGTCCCCACTCTCCCCGTCGTCACTCAGTGCACTTCAGCCTCCTCCGCACTGCCGCCCACGGTGTCAAGGCTGTGCCCACCTCAGGGCTTAGCATTTGCCCGCACTGCCGCCCACGGTGTCAAGGCTGTGCCCACCTCAGGGCTTAGCATTTGCCCGCACTGCCGCCCACGGTGTCAAGGCTGTGCCCACCTCAGGGCTTAGCATTTGCCGTTCCCTCCACTGCGATCCTCACTCAGCTCTTTGCATGGTTGGCTGTCTCACTCACTCAGGTCTCTGCTCAAATGTCACCCTGACCCCCCTACAATAATACCCTCCATCACGATCCCCTCACGTTTCCCTTTTTCTTTTCTTATTTTTGAAAAAGTCTCACTTTGTCGGCCTGTAGAGAGCAGTGGTGTCATCATAGCTCACAACAACCTCGAACCCCTGGGCTCAAGCGATCCTCCTGCCTCAGCCTCCCGAGTAGCTGGGACTACAGGCGCACACCAGCACACCCAGCTAACTTTTTCTATTTTTAGTAGAGAGGTGATCTCGCTTTTGCTCAGGCTGGTCTCGAACTCCTGACCTCAAGCAATCCTTCCGCCTTGGCATCCCAGAGTGCTGGGATCACAGGTCTGAGCCCCGCCTGACCCTTATTTATTTCATTAACTTTATTGCTGCCTAATGTTTCACTGTGCACTTATTTGTTCGCTGTCTGTCCTCCTCACTAGAGGCAAACTCTACAAAGGCAGGAGTTCATCAGTTCACGGCTCTGTCCCCACAGGTGGAGAGAGCAGAACGTGGCACACGGCAGGTGCTCGATAAACTCCTGTGGCAGGCACAGGGAGGACGGCCGTGAACGAGCCCGGCCCCTGCCAGTGAAGCAGAGGAGGCTCCGGAGGGAGGCAAGGAGGCCAGCAAAGGCGGCCCAGCTCTTTCTGGGAGGGTCTTGGGTCTGGAATGAGCACCGGGGCCTTCATCCTGCTATAGCAGGTGACATTCCGAGGTCATCGAAAGCAGGGCAGCTTCCACTCGGTGCCACTCTGCCTCTCCACCCTTGGGAATGTTCTGCACACTCAGCCTGCCCAATGCCAGTCCGAGCAGTCTGCCCTGTCTCCATCGAGGGTGCCGCCCAAGCTTGGGAGGGAACCCCAGAACCCTAAACCCTCAGAGCTTGGGACACTGGGGAGCCATCCTGCCAGCCTGGCCCTCCATGGGCCCTCAGAGCTCCTGCACTGGGACGGGGGCGGGGCAACGTGGCACCAGGGCTCTGTCCAGCGCCTGTTGTCCAGATTTTTCTAGGTTGTAACTCCAAGGACAGGGAACTTAATTTTATTCATTCATTCATTCATTCATTCATGGTTCAACAAATAGTTATTGGGCACCTACCTACTCTGGACTGTTTCAGGCCCTGGGGACTCAGTGGTGGCCACAACGGACCTACCCCTGGCCTGGCTGAGCTTACATTCTGCTGAGAGAGGAGATGATAACCAGGTAAACAAGTCAGTAGGTAATAAAGCCTGGTAAGTGTCACCAAGGCAACTAGACCAGAGGGCAGGATGGAGCACAGCTGGCTGGCATGGGCAGGCTCCGCAGCGACCGGGAGAAGGCGGGGAGCGCCGCCCTAAGGAGGCAGCATCTGGACTGAGCCTGAGCATCGGGAGGGAGCCACTGCTCAGCTTGGGGCCCAGGCAGTCCAAGCTGAGGAGAAAGCAGCGCAAAGGCCCTGGGGCAGTAACCAGCTTAGCATTTTGGAGGACCAGGGCGAGAGCGGTAGGACTGAAGCACAAGGAGTGGAGAGAGAGGAGAGGGCCACCGGCCCAGATCACCGAGCGGAGCCTTCTGTTCGCCATGAGGAGCCACCCAAGGGATCTGATGGGATTTACCTTCAAGTACCTCTGGCCAGAGCCAGGCCTGGAGGGCAGAGTGGAGTCAGGAGGCCAGAGAGGAGACTGTGCCGTGCGTGGCCCGGTGAGAGCGGATGGTGGCCGAGACTGAGCGGCCGCAGTGCAGGGAAGGGGCTCAACTGGAGGAGGACCCAATAGGACCTGCTCATGGGCTGGATTTGGGGGTGGAGGGAAGAAAGGAATTAAGGATGACACCTGGATTTGGGGCCTGACGGCGTCCGCTGAGAGGGGCGGCCTGGGCCAAGGGGAGAGCCAGGAGCCCGCTGGGCCGTGGCCAGTTTGCGCCACTGCGGAGAAGTCTTCCTCTTGCCCTGCTGCGTGTGGCCCGTCACACTGGCCCTCTTAGGACCTGGTGTCAGGCACACCCGGGTTCCACCCTGACCCCACCAGGCAGGACAAGCTAGAGACCCTGGACAGCCACTGAGCTCCTCCAAGCCCCTCCGTCGTCATCCCTGCAATGGGAACATGATCCACTTTTCCTGGCTCGCTGTGGGGACTCCACGCGGGGACATGTAAAGCACACCTCAGGCCGACACACCAGGATACACGCTACCAGCCAGAACCGTCACTGCTGCCACTGCCATCCCGCCTCTTTGTCATCGTTGTGCGAATCGGCCTTTCCTCCCAGAAAGAAGTGGGGCCCTGGAAAGAGGCGCCTCTCAGACGGGGACGGGGCCCGGGGCCAGTCCTGAGAGGGGCCCAGAAGCAGGAGGAAGAGGAGGAGGGCTCTCAGGCTACCTTGGTGGGGACAGCACACGGCAGCCGGGGCCACCCAGAGGCTTCATGTTGGGCCCCGGGCAGAGGCTGCAGGAGCACGAGCATTGATGGAAAGAGACCCTGCACCTCCCCTGACCAGCCAGCGACCTGACCGCCCTGAGCCCGGCTTTGCTGCTCTGTGACAGAGGACACTGTTGGCCCGCGGTGAGCACAGGGCAAGTCAGGCTCCCGAGCACGTGGCTCGGGGCCGGAGGTGCGGGCTGCGCCCAGGAGCCGCTGGTTCCGAGCTCTCTGGTGGACCCCAGGGGCCAGGGCCAGGCAGCTTCTGGGGCCTGGGGCAGCAGTGGCAGCTGAGGACACTGGGGCCAGGAATTTGCATGGCGTGGGGCAGGGGCCACTCCTAAAGGACCCGCCAGGCCAGCACGGCCCAGGCCGGAAGCCAGGCCCAGGGTCAGCAGCCGGCAAGGGACGACTACCCCAGGTGCGATGCCCACCGGGCCTGCACGCCTGTCCGCGGTCCTCGCTGCTGGGGACCCTAGTCCTGCCCGCAGGGAAGCCCCCCGCCCTGTCCTTGAAAGTGCCCGCAGGTCACCCACGCCACTGTCTCCTCCTGAAACCTCCAAGAGGGAAGGGCCCGCCCTGCCTCCTCCAGGGCCCTCAGCGTCTCGCGGAGCTTCCCACGGCCCGGCGCCCAGGAAACGGCCACCGGCTGGATGAACGGCCGCTGCTGAGCTCAGTGGGTAGAAATGTCCGTTCTAGGGCCCAATGGCCCGGGTTTGAACACCGCTTCCCCTCTGTGCCTGCGTCACCGCATGCCCACCTCACAGGGCGGCCGGTGAAGATCAAATGAGACGGCACCAGCAAAGCCGCTTCTGTTCAATGGCCTGTTTACTTATCTCATTCATGCATGAGGAAACGGAGGCTCAGAGGGGTTAAGCAATGGCTCAGGGTCACACAGCAGCAAGTGCGAGAGCCGACTCCAGAGCCCCTGCACAGCTTGACCACAACACTCCCCCCAGCCCCCAGCCCCGGGCAGCGGTTGGGAGCTGCCGCTAGAAGGGCCTGTGGGGTCCCTAAGTCCAGGCAGCGAGGCAACCGCATGTCCTAGGTGGAGGTCCGGGGAGGCCGCCCGGCCTGCCCGTCCCGCCTGGGGCTGGCCGCCAGTTACCGGAGGACGAGTGTCTGCACTCTGCCCGCCTTGCAGTGTCCCTTTGAAAAGCTCCAACATGTCTCTCCAGAGGTCAGCAAAGGTCTGGCCAGGGGAGGTGGCTGCAGACAGAGGGGAGAACATCAAGATCAGGGACACGCTCACTGCCCTGCCAGGAGAGGAAGCGCCCCTTGGCGCTCTGACTGCGGGCTGGCACCCACGGCCACGCTCACGCACAGGGCAGTGAACCGAGGCACAGAGAGGGGAAGACCCTTGCCCCGGGTCCTCTTTGCAAGCTGTCCCAAGTGTCCTTGGTGCTGGGCACGGCCACCTGTTCAGGGGAAGATGGCGGATGATGGTGGATGAAGCTGTACCCTCCAAGGGCTGTGCCCCTTTTCTGAGGTTCAGGAAAACACCCCTCACAGTATCACGAGCACTGGGGAAAATGGAACAATTCATCCTTGGTTTATAACCAACCCCGCAATCCAGACCACAGGCAAGAGAAAGAGCACCTCAACTCTGGGATTGAATTCTGGATTCAACCCATGTCTGCTGGGGGCCCAGGAGCAGCAACTGGGTCCCAAAGGCCTTGCCAGGCCAGCGAGGCTACACACACCCTTCAGGGGACTGTTTGCCTCACCTCCCCCCTGGTCCAAAGGCTCCATGAAGAATCGGCTGCCTCCCCTCGCTGGGCCCAGTCTGGATGGGTTTGTAAACACGGTTCACCTGACCGCGCTCTGCTCCTGGAAGCCCCCAGCCCAACCTGCCCGCTCCCTCTCAGGGGGTCCAAGAACACACCTCCCTTCCTGCACCTTCATATACCTGAGCAATGCTCCCTCCTTTGTCTCCCGCCTGCCTGGAAGGACAAGCCCCTCCTCCCTGCTTGGTGCATGATCCCCTGTGCTTTTGTTTTTTGAGACAGAGTCTCACACTGTCGAAGAGGCTAGAGTGCCATGGGGTCAGCCTAGCTCACAGCAACCTCAAACCCCTGGGCTCAAGCAATCCTTCTGCCTCAGCCTCCCGAGTAGCTGGGACTACAGGTATGTGCCACCATGCCCGGCTAATTTTTTCTATTTTTAGTAGAGACGGGATCTCGTTTTTTGCTCAGGCTGGTTGAGCAAAACTCGAACTCCTGACCTCAAGCGATCCTCCTACCTTGGCCTCCCATCCCTGGTACTCTTTAAGGAGAAAATCTTTTTAATCAGTTTCCCTTATTTTTCTTATCACAAAAGAAGTACATGGTCTAGTTTCACAGACATCAAGTTAAAAAGAAAAGTAGTATGTGAACATTGTGGAAAGATTTAAAAATCAAATATGAAAAACATAAAGCAAAGTTAAAACCCACAATCACTTTTTCTTTTGTGGTTCAGTAATGTTTAGCATTTTCATAACTATCTTCGGAAGCAGGAAAAGCAAAAAGGGTTTTCCAAAAACCCTCAGGCCCCACCACTCAGAGGTAGGCATGTCACCCCCTGGTCCTTCGTCCACACAGAGGGACGAGACAGACGGGTAAAGGGTACAGACTTCTCCGTCTTGCGGAAAGGCTTGTGTTCTACCCACCGTCTTGCAGCTGCTCTCCCGCTCACCAGGCACCGTGAGCATCTTTCCAGAAGAGTGCTGGGTCAGGGCCTCATCTGACAGCCACTGCATGGCCGCATCCTCCAGCCTCTACTGTCCCCCGAGGCCGACACAGAGGGCTTGCGAGGTTTCCTCAGGACAACCATGCTAGAAAACGCTCCAGGAGGGAGGGCCCCGTCTGTCCCATCCCTGCAGCGCCCCGGCACCAGGCACAGGGCTGGGAGCTGAGGGTGCTCCACAGTGGGGCCGAGTGGCCCAACTCACGCTTCTGCCTCCGCCTCCGCCTTGGGGCTTGCCCGATGCCTCCCTCCTTCCTTCCCGCTGGCCCCAGCCTGTGGCCGCAGGGCCACCCAACAATGCCACCAGCCTCCCCTTGACGCTCTGCCCTCCTGACTCACCCTCCTCTCTCTCAGCCCCGCTGCCCTCAGAACCGCACGCCCTCCTCCAGCGCAGCCAGCAGTGGCCACTGGGCCTCCCCGCCCCCACGCTTTGCCCGTCCCTAGCCCCCACCAAGGAACCCCAAGTGAGGAGAAGCTGTGGCCGCAGAGCACACAGCCCCACCCTCCCCATCTTCCAAGCTGGAGGCTGCGCCCCGGTGTGCGGCGCTCAGCGGGCGTGGCCACACAGGCACGTCCAGGACACCCGCCCTGGTCTAGGCGACCAGAGGAGGCCTCTCAGCAGGAGCGAGGCCTCAGCTGAGCCCTGAAGAGTGACCAGGGGCTGCCCAGTGGGACGAAGGCCTCTGGGAACAGGACCAAGCGGCTCAGTGGCCCAGGGAGTCTGAGGAACAGAGAGGCCAGTGTGGCTGGAACCCAGAGAGTGAGGGGCAGGCAGGAGCCCCTGCGCCCGGACTCCTCCGCACACCTGGGGGGTCTTTGCAGCCCTGCTAGCCTCCCTGTGGGCCAGCTGCAAGCTGTCCACCACAGAGCCCCAGCTCAGCACCCTGCTGAGCTCAGACACCATCATCCCCGGGCCTGGCTGTGCCAGGGCCATCGAGACCTCCTCCCGCTTCCTCAGCACGCAGCCCTCTCCCCTCCAGCCCAGCCTCTCTGCCCTGCCAGGGCCCGCCACGCCTGGGCACCCGACACCCCGGCTTCTCGGGCCTGGGCCAAGGCCTCGCCCTCACCGCACTCCTCCCGACCCAGCACCCAGCGGGTCGGGTCTCACACCACACCCACGCTCACACCCACACCTCCCCACACCCACACACACACCCCACACACCCACACTCACACCTACACCTCCCCACACCCACACCCCACACACACCCCCACACACACATGTTCACACACCCACACACCCCACACACCCATGTTCACACACCCACACACCCACGCTCACACCCACACCTCCCCACACCCACACCCCCCACACACATGTTCACACACCCACAACCCCACACACACCTATGTTCACACACCCACACACACCCCCACACACACCCACGTTCACACACCCACACCCCCCACACACCCAC